AAGAGGAGTGTTACGTTTCAGTAGATAAAGATCCTCATTTGCATTGTTGGTAAACTCAAAAGAGCAAGCAACTGCAGAAAGAGCTTTATTACAAGCCATGTCAAGAGAGACTGGGTGCTGACTGCATGTACAAGAGAAAAGTAACATTGATTTGATACTGTAGTAACATACCTCAGAGCACAGGTCAGGTAAGTAACCAGACAGAAGAGTGAGAGTAGAGTCTTCATGATTCCTTTCCTTGATAGAGAGTATTCCTTCTTCTTGTGAGATGATTTCTTGTTTTAGTGAGAAGTGATTCACTGCTGCTGGTCACCTCCTTATATACTATTAGGTACCTCATCAATATTCATTAGCAATTAAGCAGAAACTGACCAATCAGAAGCTAGCTGGATGACATGATTCCGGCACGAGACCTGAAGCTGCGGAATTGGATGTACTATTGTCCAGTTGAGGTGTCAGTCCAAGTTATAGTGACTAGTTGGCTTTCCTATTTCACATGACTATTATACTGTAGTACCTCAATACAAGGATGCACTGTGCTGTAAACAACATATATACATGTGAGCTGTCCTCATGGAATAATATCAAATGAATTCAGTGGATACTCTTCAAATTGGTAAAATACATATACAACTGCTATCCAGCTACTAAGCAACCATGCAGCTAGAATGATGTAATTATATTTTGAGATTCATTCTATTCACATGTACACAAGAATTTGAAAGTTGAAAGCACTATTTATAAACTCGTGTATATATTCAACTTTGTACATAGAAGCTAGGCAGCTTTTGTGGTTGCCTTTGATCTGTCTCCTAAAATACATGCAACTGTGTATCTGTGCATGGGCTTACAATGTGACCAGCTACAGCCCATTACTCTCAGATATAAGTTGTTTACAGTATACAGTATCCTTGTATTGAGGTACTACAGTATAGTAGTCGTGTGAAATAGGAAAGCCAACTAGTCACTATAACTTGGACTAACACCTCAACTGGACAATAGTCCATTCAATTGATGTATACTGTACTGCAGTATGCAACAACATGTATCTACTGAACACTGAATAGTGAGGTATAGCATGTAATGTGAAGAGTGCCCAGGCTACTTTTATTTACATGCATTAATACACTTAAAAATGAAGGCTGATTTACAATGAAGGCTGATTTACAATGAAGGCTGATTTACAATAAAGAATGATTTACACTGCAAAATTAATGCAAGGTATTGCTATGCATTAAGAAAGGAAGTGCATCATAAACCAATGGCTGAACTATTTACATAAAGTAAGAATTGAGATAATTTCTATTCTTACAGTACATAAATGATGTCTTACTGTAAACCCAAATAATTTAAAGGTAAGTTCAATGTATTTTGCAGTCATCTGCAATATGAAAGCAAACTAGTCACTATAACTTTAATCAAAGTTCGTACGTCAATTGAATGTTGTCAAATTGAAGTGTCAGTCTAAGTTATAGTGACTAGTTGGCTACACTTATTACGTGTGACTACTATAATGTAGTAGTAATGTGCAAGAAAGCCAACTAATCACTATATTATAGTAGTCATGTGCAATTGAAAAGCCAACTAGTCACTATATTATAGTATTCTTGTCTAGTAAGAAAGCCAACTAGTCACTATAACTTGGACTGATACCTCAACTGGACAATAGTATATTAAATTTTACAGCTTCATGTCAAGTGACAGAATATATTGTCTCTTTTCTCAAGCATTTACAAGCATATTCATGATTTTAATACAACTAAATGATGATTAGTAGTATACAAAAGCACATCAGTAAAAGAAGAAATAGACATTACATAAATATCAATAATAATTAAAGTGACAATCGTTTCTGAATCTCCTCAACTATTTCTTCCTTTTTAATTAAAACCTAATAAAGGATGATTAAGAGATCAGACTTGTAATTATCATTACACTATTAGCTATTCATCATATCACTGAATAAAATTCCCATTATGACATCACTAAACTATACTATATAGTAAGTTTCATTAACATAATTTTCAGCATAAAATTCAACATGTCATTTGCTGAAACATAAACATGTAAACATGTAAAGTACCTAAAACATCTACAACAGTTCTATTGATCTTGTAATAAGCAGCACATTGCCATATCCTGTTCTATTTTTGGCAACTAAGCCAACTTTTGATGTTACGGGTAACATGATGTCAAAATAAGGATTTCTTTATTTCTTAGTCGAATTAATTTTTGTCAAATATACATGTATGTGTACTGTGTAACCAGAATGCTGCCACAAAATACTTTATTGGTATCTAACTACTAACTAAAAGTGTAGCCTCCTCTACTGTAGTACATGAAATTCCTTACTTCTTCCTGTGTCTGAACATCTCTTAGTTTAACTACACCCTGAGCTAGTTCCTGATCTCCAATGATCACCATCAGTGGCACTAACTCCTTCTCACAGTATTGTACTTGATTTAAGAACTTTGGATTAACTTTGTATGACATTTCAACCTTTGTGAAGAAAAATAAATATAATAATAATAATGATAATATATGTAATAAATAAAATTAACAAATTAATCAAGGGTATATATCAATTAAGTGGGTGTGGCTCCAAACTTTTAATTACTTAATTAAATTTTAGTGAATATTAGTTTTGGCTATTGCCTCAAAACTAAAGACAACAGCATCAAAAACTATTTTAACTTATCTCTCTCTCTCTCTCTTACTTACTTTTATTCCTGCATCCCATAACAAGGTACATATCTTCATTCTCTCACTGCACAGGTTCTTTTGGGCAGAAGCCACCATCACTTGAGTATCAATGGTCCTCACCTGACCCATTCCACCAGACTACAAGAAAACTTATTACAACATTGATAATCACTAGTGCCTTTCTGCTATGAGGATTTACTATTAGAGAATTGTGGCCA